CATACCGGACACGTCCGGTATGACTTACACTGCGCCAACGGTTATAGAGTTACAGTGTCATTGTGAGGCATCGGAACTCCCGATGAATGCCAGAACTCCCGACCCATGTTGGAACTCCCGATCCTCAGCTCATTTGAAAACTAGCCGTTAGGCTCTCACTGAGTTAAAGTATGTGAGGTGTCAGAACTCCCGATGCATGCCGAAACTCCTGACCATCGGAACTCCCGACCCTCAAGGTATTTGAAAACTAGTCGTTGGCCTCTGGCCATCCATACCAGACACCAGGACAGTGAACTCTCCAAGTTAGTTAAGCGCGAGACGTCGGAACTCCCGACCATTGTCAGAACTCCCGATCGTTGGAACTCCCGACTCACGTCGGAACTCCCGATGAACCAACCCAAAAACAACAACTTTACCATTGCTGGGCAAATACTGGACACGTCCGGTATCAATACCGGACACGTTCGGTGTTGCCAGATCAGCAAAAATAGGTTAGCTCTTTTGTCTCTCAAACACTCAAAACTCACATGGGTTGGCATGAGCACTTATGAATGATTATCTATCAACATGATGCATCCCTCTTAATAGTACGGCATACCTATTAAACTCAAGACCAAAGAAAAGATGAATTTATACCACTTGAGTTGATCTCTTTTAAATTGATGCCGTGTCTTTAAATCTTCATCAAGTGAGGGTGCCAACATGTCGATATTTGATCTTTTTACTTGAGCATAACCATCTTGAGCACGGGACTTGATTCCATTCATCAAATATGAATAATCCCAAATGTATCAAGTCACTTCCATCAAATACTCTAATAGCGATTTGATCCTCCACATCAACATGACCATCATAGCTTGATTAGTACCTCAACTAAATGCAAGTACTTCCTTCTTCACCCTAGCTAGATTCTTTGGTCGCCAAGCCATCGCTTGCCCTTCACCCTTGCTTAGTACCTCGAAGCCTTTCCTTGCTATCTTCACCATCTCAAGCCATCAAGTCACATCTTGTGTTGAATCATCCATTCATTTGTATTGTTATCTTTTTCATTTCAATTTAGCAAGCTTCAAATATGAGGCCATTCCATATGCAATCCCTCATGTCTCATTAATTAATTCTTACCGAGCTTGCTTTCACATAGTACATGGAAATCCCACAATAAATAAGCCTTTGCAAGAATTCCATTTGTATTGTTGTCTTGTGCTTGAACTAGATTGTTTATACAACAACACATCATTTTGGCTTTCATTAAGTATCTATGAGATAACCTATTACCTATCCACACTTAACAAATGGGTTAGACCTTTAATCACGTAGTTATTCAATCATCCAAAACCCACTATAGGGCTAGTTGCACTTTCACGTCTCAACACGACCCATCCCCGTGACATGTCATTCTAGGGAACTCACATCGCCCACAGTGACGGACGCGTGGTCACTACGCTACCTACTCCCTGTACGGCCGCTGATCAGCACATTGGTTCGCCGCACCGCCCACGGGGCCGGAATGGGACGCCACGACCCACTGACAAAGCCAGGGCATGGCATCATCAGGCGGACAGGCCCCCGATGTGGAGCTATCCCTATCACCACCTGCCATATCAGTGGGACCCGCGCAAAGGAAAAGAAAGGCCCAGCGACCCCGAAGGACTTTCTCTCTCTCTCTCTCTCTCTCTCTCTCTCTCGTTCTCCTCTTTTCTCTCGCTATAACCCGTGCTTTTCCTTGGCCTATAAAAGGGAAAGCAGGGCATCCCACTAAGGGGCATCGCACCACATCAGATCAAAACCACTAGCATCGAGCCTCGAACACATAGCCGAGCAGCGACCGAGCTCTTGGTACCCCTTCGTTCTTTCCACCAGAGACTTGGGACCTGTCCCTCTCTCGCCTGTTTGTAACCCCTAATATAAACTTTTCAATGCTAGTAACACGAGCAGCAGCAATGAACTAGACGTAGGGATATTCCACCTGAACCAGTATAAACCTCGTGTCCTCTTAGCACACCATCCGAGCCAAACGCGCAATATTAGAAATTTACTCGTTGGTGTTTACTCAAAACACCGATAGCCATCGATGAGTATCCTGGCCAAAATAGCGCGAGCACCGGATGGAGGGAGTCAAGGCGAGCTCAAGGTTACGAGCCATTGAACTGCTACCACTCCTATGTGCCTTACCTCCCAACCTACCGGTTCGGTGGCGCACCTGACCGGTGGCCAGCAAAAACATCAATTTGCCGGTGGGTAGTGACCGGCCGGGCTTGAGGGGAAATGGGCATCTAGCTGACTACCTATGCCACTCACTGGTGTGAGGAATTGGACTGAGAAGCCTTGAGCTAGGTGAATTGAAGGGGTGAAGAGCGCGGTGCCTCGCATGAGACAGCGACTCCGGCCACGTGCTGGCGTGGCACTACTGACATACACAACCCGTCCTCTCCTCCCTATCTCGCAGGTGGGGCAATATGCGTAGTCGTGGCAGTAGAGGTAGATGGGATGAGCGGCTAGGATCGTGCCACCGAACACAGCAGCGCGCGTGGCGGTAGGTGAGGTGCATGGCCGAGAGCGTGTGAGCACGAGAGGGCGGCTGCGACCAAGACACATGGCTCGACGCGGTACATGAATTGGAGGGTGGAGCGACTGCCACGCTGACCTGTCAATGATGGCCACAGCCATGGCTCGACTCCGCGCATGGCTCGGCGGCCAAAGGGTGGTGCGCGCATGCCACGACAGTGGAAACCTAGCCACAGTCGACTAGAGCCGGCCAACGCGAGGCCAAGGTGTTGCGCGGCATCAGCCGGGCGCGCGAGCTAGCCAGCGACCGTAGCCCGGCCACGGCGTGAGCCCGATGCCAACAGTGTTGTGCATGCGATGACCACGAACTCAGGCCGAGCGACTACTATGAGTGATGTGCACACATTTTAAAGCGAAGCAAAAGCTACTAACGACCACAATTGAGGTTCAACTAATTCCCCTATCCTAAAGTCAACCATACCAGCTATCAAGCGGAGCAATCACAAAGACCCGAGAGCAACCAGAGAGGGAGATAGAAGGATGCCAACATGAACTTATCACGCTAAACGCCAGTTCGCGAACCGAGCACTAACTCATGACTCGCAACACGTTCTAAGGAAGTTCGAGCCAAATTAAAATGAGCAAAGTCACATTCATCAGCACTTCGACCTACACCCTAATCAAGTGCTCACTTAGAGGCAACCAACAACACCAAACCATGGGACTAGTGTTTAAGTATTTTACTTAGAACTCAAATGCCAAAATAGCATTGTCCAACACCCTTTTCCGACTTAGAAAAGACAAGGGTTCAATTTGGACTTAACATCCATGAACACTTGTTGCCACACTTTTTAAGAGGTCTATACCTTATTAACTTCAACCAAGAAATACTACATGTGATAGCCCATACTTTACACTAAACCATAGGAACAAAATACTTAAGCACTATTTAACTATTTGCTCAATATAATTCACCAAAAATAGTATTTTAAACATAAGTTTAAATTCTCGCCGATTCAGCGAAAAGTTCTAGTTTAATTTTTGGATTCGATGTTTGAGCTCCCAAAACGCTGGTTAACACTATTCTCTTTCCAAACCTAAAGTTGCATTCTTTTCTACACTATTTGCTCATCATTTTCACATAAGCACTATACATAAGTTATATTTTGTTTTTGTTTACCGAAATTATTTTTCGTTGACCTTAACCTAGGTGCTAAGCAAGCTCGTAACACCATAGGTGTTACATCAATGAGCCTCGATTCGCCCAAACAGCAAGAAGATGTTGCGCTGAAAAGCGCATGTTGTAAACCTATGTTTAAGTGTTTCAGGTGTTTCATATGCATGTTGCAAGTTTTATGTGGATGTTGCAAAAGTAGATTAGGATGTTGCATATGTCGTAATGGCTATACACGTATGTTGCAAGCGTCTGTTCCAAATGTTTCAACTGTTTTAGACGTATGTTCCACATGTTTTATCTGGGTGTTGCATATGTTTCACGCTTTATGTTGTAAGTGTTTCATCTGAATGTTGCATATGTTTCACACATATATTGCAAGTGTTTTATCTAGATGTTGCATATGTTTTGCAATGGATAGACACATGTTTTCCTCGTGCTTCGGACGTATGTTGCAAGTGTTTCAACTGTTTTCGGACGTATGTTGCAAATGTTTCCTCTAGATGTTGCAAAAATAGATTTGGTGTTGCACATGTTGTAGTGGGACCTATCTATAGCCCCCGCTTGCTGTAGCTGCTGGGCCCGCCTACATGCGCGTGGATGCAGAGGGGGCGCGATTGGCCGGCACGGGAAACCGTGTGGGCGCAGATTGAGACAGAGCGGTGCGCGACACGAAGTGGCGCGGGCCCCACGTGAAGCAGGCGCAACAGCATGCCTACATGAAGCATGCGCGGGCGTCCGGATGCCTGGACGCTAGCCTTTCCGTTACAACTTTACAACTTGTCTTGTTTTGTGCAAATATCTGTTTTCATGAAAATAAAATATATCTACAGTAATAATAAAGAAAAATATAGTTTTTTAGTGGAAGAAAAATATAGTTGACCTTTACATCCTGTTCACTTGTTGGTTTTAGCCAGACTTATTCAACCAACCAATAGTGTTTCTCTCTCACAACAAACCAGCACCGGCCAATCCAAACCAGTCCAGAAACCGAACACGCCGTTAGTAGCAGGCCGAGGCGAAAACAAAATCAGTGCCCAGTGCATAAAGGAACGGCCCAGCGACGCAAAGCGAAACGGCCGAAATATGTATGTCCCCGGGTAGCACTGGACCAAGATGTTGCTAAAAAAATACTGGGTCAAGAAGCCCAGATGCAGAAGGCCCCGCCTCCATTTTCACGCATCGAACCAAACCCTACACCGCGGCGGCAGCTATATAAAAGCCATCTACCGACCCGTGCGCTAGGGTTCTTCGTTGCTCCCACTCGCCGCCGCCGCCGCCTCCCCAGCACCCGGAGGAGCTCGCCCTCCCGCCGCTCACCATGGTAAGATAGCACGCGCGACGCTTAATCCGCTGCTGCTCCTCGGCTTCCGTCTGTTCTGTTGCCGGTGTTGATATCGTGTCTGGTTTCTTCACCCGCAGATCATCCCCAAGAAGAACCGCAATGAGATCTGCAAGTACCTCTTCAAGGGTACGTGATTCTTGGTCCACTGAACTCGCAGTAGGGTAGGTTGCGGTGATTGGTTGTTTCGTTTTCTGGGAGGAGACAGATCTTCAAATTGTTTTTTTATTAATAGGAGGGTATGTGCCAATTTTAGCATCCCACGAACTTTAGCGAGCAGATATATAGGCTTGACACAGCGAGCTTGTGATCTAAGTTTGTCCTTCAAATTTGGTTGCCCCCCTAAACTAGGGAATGGACATAGCTTCTGGTTCGTTGTTATATATTCATCACCGAGAATTCAAAGCATGGACTGATGTGATGTGTCTTACGTTCATACAATTTCTGTTAGTTTGATGTATCTGCTGCTACAGAGGGCGTGCTGTACGCCAAGAAGGACTACAATCTGGCGAAGCACCCGCAGATCGATGTGCCCAACCTCCAGGTGATCAAGCTCATGCAGAGTTTCAAGTCCAAGGAGTACGTCAGGGAAACCTTCTCCTGGCAGTACTACTACTGGTACCTCACCAATGACGGCATTGAGCACCTACGCAACTACCTGAACCTCCCGTCTGAGATCGTGCCTGCCACGCTCAAGAAGTCTGCCAGGCCACCGGGCCGCCCATTCGGCTCTGGCCCTCCTGGTGACCGCCCACCAAGGTAAAGCCTTAATTCTTGAGGCGCTGTGGCATTCATGTTAATGTGTATACTTAACAAACGTGTGTAGTGATGATTTCACATGTTTGCTTCTCATTTCTGGTGATGATTTCAGATGCAAAAGTACAATCAAGTCTGAAATGGCTTTTTGTACACTTTTCATCTTTTGATGATTGGGTTATCTAGTAAAATTGTTTTTTGATGGGTGCTTGTTATGCATTTTCCAAATATGTTTTGTGAGATGCAACTTTTCTACTACTGTTGTGAAGTTGGTTGTTGGATGAGTAAATAAAGAGTACATGTTTATTAAGAATAGCGGCGTTGTTGTACTTATTGTACTTATTTATACCGAGTTATAATTGGTTTGATAAAATCTGCTCTAGGATGAGATTTTGTTGATATCCTTGTAAAGAAGACAAACTAAATTTATACAGATCATATTTGGGTGCTTTTAACACTGTTTTACTGAGGAGCAGATTAAAGCTAACCAGTTAGGTACAAATTGTTTAGTTTTGAATTGTTGATGCTGTTATTTAATCTTATCTTTGCTTGTAATGTATGTAGGGGCCCGGGTCGTTTTGAAGGTGACAGGCCAAGGTTTGGTGACAGGGATGGGTACCGTGGTGGTCCTCGTGGCGCTCCTGGTGACTTCGGTGGCGATAAGGGTGGAGCTCCTGCTGAGTTCCAGCCGTCTTTCAGGGTAATCATATTCGTCCGTTGATGCCATGTTATTTTATTCCCTAGTTTTGAGCATCCTGAGTTGAAATTGCACCTGCAGTTGTTCATGTCTTGTGCATATAGATACACATCATGCAGCTTGAAGTGAAATTGGCAATGTGAAACATCAGGGTGCATTCTAAGGGGTGGTCAAGCACTATGTTAGGATTGAAATGAATATGTTAGAAGTAATTTTTTCTGAAGTCATATTCCTAGATTTGCTGGCAGTTAGAAATCTTGAATGGACTTCGGATGAGACAGCATTCTATCCTGCACCAACTCTTTTATAGTAGTAACCATAACCATTATACTACTTTAAAAGATGGGAGTTGGTGGTGATTGTCTGTTTGCTATCCTTTGAGCCCTTCATTAAAGCTAGACATTTGGCACAAGGCCCTCCTTTAACTGTATTTAGTCGTAAATATTTGAATAAAGTCATCATATCCTGTTAATTTACAAACAGAAAGCAGAGGCACAATGCACAGTTGTTGGGCTAGGCCGATCACACTGCAACTGTGCTCCTGTGCCTCCAGAAATGTTCTTGTAGGAGAGGACATATGAGTATTGGGATAAAGTTATTTTTATAGCTTTTCTCCTAGAAAGTTTTACCTGATATATCTTTTAGTTCTAAAAGGGACTAGGTGATATTGAATGGAGATTGGATGTGATGGTGTATTGTGACTGTCATGCACCAACTTGTTTTTTTAAAGTAGTATATATTCGATGGATACTACATTAAAAGTCCGAGTTAGTGGTTGAAATAACATGTGGGAGTGGTAGAGCTTGGCTGAGCTTTGAAGCAAATATAGCCTGTTTGTGCAGTCTTCTTGTAGGTACATTGTATATTTATGCTACATGCCGTATCAGTAAACCTAATGCTTTTGCTCATTTTGCCAAAATGTGTTCACTACCATTTTCTATAATTACAGTATTGCTGTGTCAAGTTGGCTTTTGTAAGATTGAAAAATTCCATTTTCTGTAATTACTGTATTTCATACTTGCTGATATATATTTCTGCACCTACAATATTGCAGAGTTCTGGTGGGAGGCCTGGGTTTGGCCGTGGTGGCGGAAGCGGCTTTGGCGCTGGCCCGACTTCATCTTCCATGGAGTGAAGTTGCCCTTAATTTGGACAAGATGTTTCCGTTCGCGTGAGGTGTTTTAATTTTGAAGGACACTTATTATGTACTAGTAATGTTATCCGGAGCGGCCAGTGCTGACATTGGTTCCAGTATAATAGTCTTTGCAAAACGCTTGGGTTTTCAAGTTAGTACTTTTTTCGCTAATATATAAGTAATCGTCCTTCGTTTGGTGGTTGTCTGTCTGATGGGTTGGTGATGCTGCGATGTTGTTTCATTTGTTTGGAGCCATGAGGAAAATCTAAACTGTCAAGGAACTGTACCAAATCTAATCTGTCAAGGTACTGTGGTTAGCTACGTAGTATTGTTTGTCTTTGGCTGTGGCCCAGAGCTAAAACAAGCTCAGCCTAATTTCTAATGGCGCCCTACAGCTATTACGATTTCTGACGGCGCAAAATTGTACCTAGGCAAGATATGCCCTATTTGCAAGGTATCGCCCCATGGATGCTACGAAGGCAGAATATAGTTCCAGTGATGCGAATGTTGTTCCAGTGTATGAGCCTTCCTGGGTCGGTCGATTTTGCCTTCCTGGATTGGTTGATTTTTTGCTGCTTGTTTGCCTCTGCGTTGCAGGCAAGTATTGCATATATGTTAAAATATATGTAGAGATGTCTTTTATATTGCCAGATGAAACTGTACTTTCTTTCACACGGGTACGGGGGTTATCAGTATGGATGAAAATGGTACGGATATTTATTCGACCGTCCGTTCGATCGAACAAATATGAACACTTATTTGATAGTTATTTGGATATCTGTAATTTTTTTTTGATACGGATAGTAAAACGGATATCTTAGGCGGATATCAAATACGGATGTAATATCATCGATATCCGGCGGATATCGGATAAAAAGGTTAAGTATCGGATATATCCGGATATTATTCAAACGGATATTATCCGGATATTATTCAAACGACCTTGAATGGAGAAATGATCAAAATAAAAATTGTAGATCTCAAAAAGTTATGAAACTTTGTTGTTTACAACTTTTTCGTTTGAAATCATTTAGTGCTTCAAAATTTAAACCGTCCAAACTTTCTCAAATGGAAAACTAGTTTATAGGCGTCAAAATTTAAAAATCACAAATTTGAACCATCCAAACTATCTCAAATGGAAAGTTGACCAAAACAACAATTGTAGATCTTGATGAGTTGAACAAACTTGGTATTCAAAACTTTTCAATTTGAAGCCATTTAGAGTTCATAATACTAGAGTCAAAGTGTTGTTTTTTCATTTGACCAAATTTGACTTGGTCAAACTTGCTCAAATGAGACACTAAATGACCTCAGATGAAAAAACTCTGAGTACCAAGTTTGATTATCTCAGCAAGATCTACAATTGTTACATAGCTCATTTTCCCATTTGAGAAAGTTTTATCAAACACTAGTCACAAATTCTTGAATCTCATAGACTTTCTGAAACTGTCACACATTTGTGAAATTTGAACTATATTTTGTTCAAACTTTCTCAAATGAAAAAATGACCTATATAAGGATTATAGATCTTAATGAGCTGAACAAACTTGGTATTCAAAACTTTTCAATTTGAGACAATATAAGGTTCCGAAAACTAGTTTGTAAATGTCGAAATTTAAAAATCATAAATTTGAACCGTCCAAACTATCTCAAATGGAAAGTTGACCAAAACAACAATTGTAGATCTTGATGAGTTGAACAAACTTGGTATTCAAAACTTTTCAATTTGAAGTCATTTAGAGTTCATAATACTAGAGTCAAAGTGTTGTTTTTTCATTTGACCTAATTTGACTTGGTCAAACTTGCTCAAATGAGACAGTAAATGACCTCAGATGAAAAAACTCTGAATACCAAGTTTGATCATCTCAGCAAGATCTACAATTGTTACATAGCTCATTTTCCCATTTGAGAAAGTTTTATCAAACACTAGTCACAACTTCTTGAATCTCATATAGACTTTCTGAAACTATGTCACACACTTGTAAATTTTGAACTATATTTTGTTCAAACTTTCTCAAATGAAAAAATGGCCTATATAAGGATTGTAGATCTTGATGAGATGAACAAACTTGGTATTCAAAACTTTTCAATTAGAGATAATCTAGGGTTCCCAAAACTAATTTGTAAGCATCGAAATTTAAAAATCACAAATTTGAACCGTACAAACTATCTCAAATGGAAAGTTGACCAAAACAACAATTGTATATCTTGATGAGTTGAACAAACTTGGTATTCAAAACTTTTCAATTTGAAGTCATTTAGAGTTCATAATACTAGAGTCAAAGTGTTGTTTTTTCATTTGACCAAATTTGACTTGGTCAAACTTGCTCAAATGAGACAGTAAATGACCTCAGATGAAAAAACTCTGAATACCAAGTTTGATCATCTCAGCAAGATCTATAATTGTTACATAGCTCATTTTCCCATTTAAGAAAGTTTTATCAAACACTAGTTACAAATTCTTGAATCTCATATAGACTTTTTAAAACTATGTCACGCACTTGTGAAATTTGAACTATATTTTGTTCAAACTTTCTCAAATGAAAAAAATGGCCTATATAAGGATTGTAGATCTTGAATCCATGACCATGACTTCATGAGACCCATGAAGCCATGAGCTTGGCTATTTCTACTCATGCCGCGAAGATTGGTACTTGTATGATGTTTGATGTATGATGTATCTGTATCTTTATCTTATTTATTGCTTTACTCTTTAGTCTTTCGGCTTAATCTAGATGGATTATGGACTCATAGAGTGGTGTAATGGTTTGCGCACGTATGCTATATATATATATATGCTGCTTTTACTCAATATCCGAATAGATATTTGTATCCGACCTTCTCCGAATCCGATTTATACCGTATTCGATACTCATTATTCGTATCCGTAACCGAGTCAATCCGTATTCGTATATGTATCCGAACGCTATCCGTGTCCGAATCCGAATCCAAACAGAAATATGAAAACAAATATAATATGAGTGATATCCGTTCGTATCCGATCCGTTTTCATCCCTGGTTATCAGTAGGAACGCTTTAGGAGCTCAGATTCAGACTGAATTTTGTATTGCATTCCTGAACTTCTTCGAACACAATCCCATTAGTAGGAACGCTTTAGGTGCTCACATTCAGACTCAGTTTTGCTGCTGGAACTGTAGTAGCAACAACATGCTAACTGGAAATACATCTATTTACCATGTTTTACGAACTCACGTTAAGAATCTATCCAACTTCATTGTTTTACGAACTCACGTAAGAATCTATCCAACTTTATTTCGAATTTATCCAACTTCATTTCTTGTATAGATAACAAAAGGAAAAGGCCTAGTATAACGGTTTCTAACTGAGATTCCCTAAGCTAGGAGCTCAATGTGGCACGCTGGGCTCTCGTAGGCCCAGTCCATAAAGTAGGCCCAGTCCAGGCCCAGTCCATAAAACAAGAATCACGGGACACTAAATAGTAAAAACTACTCTATTTTAGTTCCACATCGACTAGCAAGAGTAAGGTAAAGGCAGGGCGGGGCAGCAAAAGGAGAGGCCAGTCAATATGCAACTCATACCTTTCTCGGCCTTTTGGCTAAGTGTAGCATGTTCTTATTAGTTTAACATATAATATGTGGGTCATGTACCCACCTTGATGTAAGTTTATTTTTTGTGGGAGAGGATCCACCAAGTGTCTTGCCACTGAGGCCCTCACGTGTCTTCTAGGTGTTGCACTATTACCTAGACCTGACACACCCCAACCAAATCAGATCAAACATGAAATTGGCTTCGCCACTAGAGACCCCACGTGTCATCTAGGTTTTGAACTATTGTCTAGACCTGGCACACCTCAACAGCTCAACCAAATCAATTCAAACTTAGCCGAAACACTGTTCCGACTGATTTATTGTGAGAAAAAAACACCGTTCCGGCTAAAAAAATAAGCTGAAAAAGACAGATTATAAGAGAAGCGAACAGGGCCATAAAATTGGCTTTGCCACGATGTTGCACTATTTTTTAGACCTAACACACCCCAACCAAATCAAACCAAACTTATGAAATTGGCTTTTGCTAGTGTAAAATATAACTTGTTTTATGAACTCTATATTTGCATTTGTATAGGACTATCACTACCCAATGTAGCCACTTCTTACTTTGTACTTACCAACTCCTTGTAAGCTTGTGTGGCTATAAAAAAATTCCCTCCATATCAAATTATAAGTCATTCCAACTTTCTTAGAGAGTCAAATCATCTAAAGTTTGACCAAATTTATATAATAAAATAATAATATTTATGATACTAAATAAGTACATTAGATTCATTATTAATTATTATATTTTCATACTATACCTATTTGGTGTCGTAAATCTTTGTAATTTTCTCTATAAACTTTGTCAAACATTAGATGCTCTAGCTCTCAAAAAGTTGAAATGCCTTATAATTTAGAACGAAGGGAGTACAAAGAGGAGAAAAGGGGGGGATTTTTTTTATTTGTATTCCTTTTTAAATAAATATTTTAATACTAATCCCAAAAAAAATATTTGCAAAAGTGATCCTTTTGGTCACGCCAGTAGTTGTTGGCTGACACAGACTATCTGTTGTCAAGACCACATGCTGTTGGCGCTGATAAGCCCGATACCACGGTGGCACCCGATGTTGACCGTAGCTGGTGTGGTGGTGCGTGGGCCTCGGCCTATAGCGCCAGCGACTCTGACGCGACAGTGCTGTCGCGCCAGGCGGGCTAGCGCGACAGGCCCATATAAAGGCCGTGGCCCACCACCCTTTTCCTCCCTCTTGTCTATCTCCCTTCACTTTGTGGCCACTCTGGGTGAGCTCGAGGTGAGAGTTTGGTCCTATGTTGTCCCTCTTCTCCTCCCATCCTCTATTTGCCTTTGATCAAGTTTGCATTTGCTTTTTAGATTTGAACGGTCTTGTGCATGAGGTATGACTCCCTGACCTCTGTTGTTTTTTGTGTTTAGTTAATGTTTATATACTGCTCTGGTTTAGACTGTTGTGT